CACAAAGCACAGCTCCAAACTACGCAATAACTATTTAGGGAAGAAGCAGTCAGCTGGTATTCTGTCTATAATGGAGTGGCCAGCACAGTCACCGGATCTCAACCCTATTGAGCTGTTGTGGGAGCAGCTTGACCGTATGGTACGTAAGAAGTGCCCATCAAGCCAATCCAACTTGTGGGAGGTGCTTCAGGAAGCATGGGGTGAAATCTCTTCAGATTACCTCAACAAATTGACAACTAGAATGCCAAAGGTCTGCAAGGCTGTAATTGCTGCAAATGGAGGATTATTTGATGAAAGCAAAGTTTGAAGGACACAATTATTATTTCTAACCTTGTCAATGACTACATTTCCTATTCATTTTTCTATATTTCCTATTCAAACTAATTTCATGTATGTTTTCATGGAAAACAAGGACATTTCTAAGTGACCCCAAACTTTTGAACGGTAGTGTATATATATATATATATATATATATATATATATATATATATATATATATATATATATATATATATATATATATATACAGTGCCTTCGAAAAGTATTCAGACCCGTTGACTTTTTCCACATTTTGTTACGTTACGGCCTTATTCTAAAATGGATTCAATTGTTTTTTTTTCGTCATCAATCTACACACAATACCCCATAATGACAAAGCAAAAACATGTTTTTAGAAATATTTGCTTATAAAATAAAAAATATCATAAAATGAAATATCATATTTACATAAGTATTCAGACCCTTTCATCAGCACTTTGTTGAAGCACCTTTGGCAGCGAATACAGCATCAAGTCTTCTTGGGTATGACGCTACAAGCTTGGCACACCTCTATTTGGGGAGTTTCTCCCATTCTTCTCTGCAGATCCTCTCAAGCTCTGTCAGGTTGGATGGGGAGCGTTGCTGCACAGCTATTTTCAGGTCTCTCCAGAGATGTTCGATTGGGTTCAAGTTTGGGCTCTGGCTGGCCACTCAAGGACATTCAGAGATTTGTCCCGAAGCCACTCCTGTGTTGTCTTGCCTGTGTGTTTAGGGTCGTTGTCCTGTTGGAAGGTGAACCTTCGCCGCAGTCTGAGGTCCTGAGTGCTCTTGAGCAGGTTTTCATCATGGATCTCTCTGTACTTTGCTCCGTTCATCTTTGCCTCGATCCTGACTAGTCTCCCAGTCCCTGTCGCTGAAAAACATCCCCACAGCATGATGCTGCCACCACCATGCTTCACCGTAGGGATGGTGCCAGGTTTCTTCCAGACGTGACGCTTGGTATTCAGGCCAAAGAGTTCAATCTTGGTTTCATCAGACCAGAGAATCTGGTTTCTCATGGTCTGAGAGTCTTTAGGTGCCTTTTGGCAAACTCCAAATGGACTTGAACCCGATCGAACATCTCTGGAAAGACCTGAAAATAGACCTGAAAATAGGCTGTAATTGCTGCCAAAGGTGCTTCAACAAAGTACAGAGTAAAGAGTCTGAATTCTTAAGTAAATGTGGTATTTCAGTTTTTTATTTTTAATACATTTTAAAAAATTCTCAAAACCTGTTTTTGCTTTGTCATTATGGGGTATTGTGTGTAGATTGATGAGAAAAAAAAACATTTAATCAATTTTAGAATAAGGCTGTAACTCAAGAAAATGTGGAAAAAGTCAAGGGGTCTGAATACTTTCCGAATGCACTGTAAATTATTCAGCTTGTACAATCTGTGTGTCGCTTCATTGGCCTGGGATATTGTTTGTTTGAATTCAAGACCAGATTGATCTCATTTTGTCAGAGTAGCCACTCATTTCGGTCATTTGTGTCGTATTAAAAAAGATTAATCTAATGTCTTCTGTCATGGAATATTTTTTCATTATTATGTTTTATTTGTTTTCATAAATAATTTATTGCCTTTTCTTGTTGTACAATACAATTGCCTATTGACAAAAATTCTACAGCCTTTGAATTAGTTATCCACATTGCAATGTTTTGAAATACAGGCTTTTCTTTTGAAGGTTTTGTCATTAGCATACGAATGTGACGTCATCATTTGGGCTGCTGGCAGAATACTACTAGTCCGGTTTAATCTGAGGAAGAGTAGTATTAGGACAGTTAAGAGGGAGTATTGGTGCCAGTTCTGTGGAAACATAGGCAGGACACTCCTGTGGGAGATGTATGGGGGATGATTAAGAGGATGAGTGGGGTCAGCAGAGATTGGGATCTCCCTGTGCTGAAAAGTGGGGAGATTGTTGAAGTGAGAGATATGGAGAAGGCAGAGATGTTAGCCCAGGCATTTGTGAAGGTGCACAGCTCAAATAATCTGACAGAAGAGGGCCAGCGTGGGAGAGAGAGGGTCAGAGGAGAACATCCGGGGGTCAGAGAGAGATGGTGGGGGATACATTGAATAGCCCTTTTACGTTGACTGAGATGAAGAGCATTAGCTAAAACTGGGGTAACATCTCTTGGGAAGGATGAGATGTGTTACATCATGATGGCTCATCTCAGTGACACTGCAATGGGGAAAGTATTGGGCCTTTACAATAAGGTGTGGCAGGAAGGGAAACTGCATGGAAGTTGGAAACAGGCGGTAGTGGTGCTAATACGGAAACCTGGGAAAGACCCTACTAGTCCTTCAAGCTATAGGCCGATAGCGTTGACATCTCATGTATGTAAACTTATGGAAAGGATGATAACGGAAAGGCTGACTTACTTTCTGGAGAGTAGAGGACTAATGTCACCAGATCAAAGTGGGTTCAGGAAAGGCAGGGGTACGATAGATCCTGTACTGTGCCTTGAGTCAGTCATACGGAAGGCACAGGCAAATAAGGAGGTGGTGGTAGCCATTTTCTTTGATGTAGAGAAGGATTATGATATGATGTGGAAGGAAGGCCTACTTATCAAGCTGGATAACATGGGGGTTGGAGGAAGGGTTTTTAACTGGATAAAGGATTTTCTTTTTGGGTGATCAATACAAGTGAGGGTGGGGAGCTCTATGTCAGAAAGCTATGAGGTGGATAATGGTACCCCCCAGGGAAGTGTCATTAGTCCTTTGTTGTTCTCCGTTATGATTGACAATGTATTCTCTCAGGTGAGACCTGATATTGGGAGGTCATTGTTTGCGGATGATGGAGCGCTGTGGAAGAGAGGGAGAAATATTACCAATACAGCCAGGAGAGTTCAAGAAGCGATTACTGAAGTAGAGCAGTGGCCCCTCAGGTGGGATTCAAGTTTTTAGTTGAGAAAACACAGACTGTGTTTTTTTTCTAGAAGGAAGGTTGGGGAGGAAATATACTTGAAGTTGTATGGAAGGAATCTGGAGAGGGTGGCAGGGTTTAGGTTCCTGGGGGTCTGGTTTGACACTCGAATGACATGGGCGGAGCATATTAAGTAGTTGTCAAAGGAAAGAAAATATTGAATGTGATGCGTTGCTTGTCAGGAATGGAGTTGGGGCCAGATAGAATGGCGTTGAAAATGATATATATAGCTCTGTTAAGGTCATCAATGGATTATGGAAGTATAGCATATGGATCAGCAGCTCAGACATCTTTAAAAAAGCTAGATGTTATCCAGGCCCAAGCCCTAAGAATATGTTGTGGCGCACTCAGGACCTCCTCAGTGGCAGTGATGCAGGTAGAGTTGGGAGAGATGCTGTTAAAGTTAAGAAGACAACAGCTAGCCATGACATATTGGGTAACTCTACAAGGACATAAGGTTACACATCCTACAAAAGATGTGCTCCTAGAGTGCTGGGAACATGAACACATTTTGAATACAAGCTTTGGGTGGATAGGCAATTGCATGGCGAGAGAGATGGGGTTGTTTGGGAGGGAGTTTAGCCCCTCTGTGGTTATTCCTGCTATCCCACCTTGGTTTCTCCTTCAACCAGTGATAGGTCTAGGGTTGCTTGAGAGGGTAAGAGATGTTGAGGAAGGAGTAGCTTCAGTTGTAAGTGAACATTTAAGAACACAATACTATGCTTTCTTGAATATATTCACAGATGGATCTAGGACCCTAAAACAGGGAGGATAGGAGCAGCTTTTAGTGTTCCTGAGTTTAAGGTGGCAGTGACGAAAAGAGCAACAGATCATTTATCTGTTTACACAATGGAGTTGTTGGCCATACTATTGGCTGCAGAGTGGGTGGAGGAGGTGTGGCCAGACAGGGTGGTCATCTGCTCTGACTCCTGTGCAGCACCGATGAGCTTAAATTCATGTGTGTCTCAGAGCTGACAGGATGTATTGTATGAGGTTTTGCAGTGTTTGTATAGGGTGAAACAGATGGGGGTATTTGTGATGTTCCTCTGGGTACCAGCTCATGTGGGAGTAGAGGGGGATGAGGAAGTGGATATTATTGCCAAGCAGGCTCTTAAACATCCTAATGTTGAGATGGAATTGTCAATCAGTAAAGCAGAAGCCAAGGGGTTAATAAGAACAGTGGTTAAAAATAAGTGGCAAGAGTTGTGGAACAGGGAGTGTAAGGGAAGACACCTGTATAAGATCCAGGAAAAGGTGGGGGCAGGGAGGTCCTCAGGTTGAGAGAGAAGGGAGGAAAGTGTAGTCACAAGGCTGAGACTGGGACACACAAGGCTAAATAGTACATTGAAAGTGGTGGGGAAACATCCGACTGGGAGGTGTGATCATTGTCAGGAGGAGATGGAGACAGTGGAACATGTTCTATTTCAGTGCCAGAAATATGTGAGAGAAAGGGAGCGATTGTTATTAGATTTGAGGAGTAATGGGGTTGAAGAGTCACGATTAAGTGAACTACTGGGGAAATTTTCAGGGGATGTAGTATTTAATTATGTATTTCGTTTCCTTAGGGAGACCAGATTATTGGATAGGATTTAGACCTTCACTGTCTCTGGTCCACACTCCAGTCCAGTTGGTGGCGGTAATGCACCTTAAAGTTGGTTGCCAACTGCCATATAAAATCCAATGAAGAAGAAGAAGAAGAAGAAGAGTAGTAGTAGTAGTAGTATCAACATGGTGCTTGATTTGGACCAATTTAGAACCGATAAAGGCGGTGATCCTGAAGTAATCAGAGAGACTCAAAGAAAAAGGTTCAAAGACGTGTCACTTGTGGATAAACTGGTACAGGCAGACACAGAATGGAGAAAATGTAAGTTCTGCCTTCTAGCTAGTTATTTGTTAACGTTACGTTAGCATTCATTCAATCGGATGACTGTTGTGTCCACATTGCTTGCTAGCTTCTTGCACTAATAAGCGGTACTCAAAAGCCGACCTTGTAGTCACCCAAACAGAAATTGACAAATTCAAGCATGATACACCAGTCCACGTTTTTAGATCTAGCTAGTTCACTAGTTGGTAGCCTGTGCTAGCTAGGTAGCTAACTAGTTAGCAAATGGCTATGTAGCTAGCCAGTTTAGCTAGCTGTGCTAGCCACCTGGGATACAACCAACAATCTTCTTACCCATGTCCTTAACTACGCATATCTGACATGTAGTTGATTGATGTCTAACATGTCTCACATAGCTAGCTAACTAACGATGTATGGTTTAGTAGTTGAACTATCGAGAAACCCAAACGATACGTCATCCTATTCACACTGACTGTACAATCTGATGCAATCCCCACCCAGTATGTGTAAAACCGATAGCCATCAAAATCTACCACAGATGTTATTGGGACAAGATGTAACATTACGTTGATGCAGATTTGACTGAGATTTAACGTGTAGACTACTCAGCTACATTGTTATCGTTATGGTGGTCGCTTTAATATCGCCTGTCAGTGTCACTAACGTTATAACGTTAGCTACCTTCCATGACACAAGCACCATTATTGATGCATGTAATGCTGACCCTTGTCTTTTCCATGCTCACCAGGTCGTTTTACTGCCGACAACCTCAACAAGGCAAAGAATTTATGCAGCAAGACCGTTGGAGAGAAAATGAAGGTATAGGGGACATCCTGTGATGCTGGTGAACAATCCAGCCACCCCTCAGTCTTTACATAACCTTACGTTACATGGCTACCTGTTCCCCACCTCATTCTGAAAGTACAGTGGGGAGAACAAGTATTTGATACACTGCCGATTTTGCAGGTTTTCCTACTTACAAAGCATGTAGAGGTCTGTCATTTTTATCATAGGTACACTTCAACTGTGAGAGACGGAATCTAAAACAAAAACCCAGAAAATCACATTGTATGATTTTTAAGTAATTAATTTGCATTTTATTGCATGACATAAGTATTTGATCACCTACCAACCAGTAAGAATTCCGGCTCTCACAGACCTGTTAGTTTTTCTTTAAGAAGCCCTCCTGTTCTCCACTCATTACCTGTATTAACTGCACCTGTTTGAACTCGTTACCTGTATAAAAGACACCTGTCCACACACTCAATCAAACAGACTCCAACCTCTCCACAATGGCCAAGACCAGAGAGCTGTGTAAGGACATCAGGGATACAATTCTAGACCTGCACAAGGCTGGGATGGGCTACAGGACAATAGGCAAGCAGCTTGGTGAGAAGGCAACAACTGTTGGCGCAATTATTAGAAAATGGAAGAAGTTCAAGATGACAGTCAATCACCCTCGGTCTGGGGCTCCATGCAAGATCTCACCTCGTGGGGCATCAATGATCATGAGGAAGGTGAGGGATCAGCCCAGAACTACACGGCAGGACCTGGTCAATGACCTGAAGAGAGCTGGGACCACAGTCTCAAAGAAAACCATTAGTAACACACTACGCCGTCATGGATTAAAATCCTGCAGCGCACGCAAGGTCCCCCTGCTCAAGCCAGCGCATGTCCAGGCCCGTCTGAAGTTTGCCAATGACCATCTGGATGATCCAGAGGAAGAATGGGACAAGGTCATGTGGTCTGATGAGACAAAAATAGAGCTTTTTGGTCTAAACTCCACTCGCTGTGTTTGGAGGAAGAAGAAGGATGAGTACAACCCCAAGAACACCATCCCAACCATGAAGCATGGAGGTGGAAACATCATTCTTTGGGGATGCTTTTCTGCAAAGGAGACAGGACGACTGCACCGTATTGAGGGGAGGATGGATGGGGCCATGTATCGCGAGATCTTGGCCAACAACCTCCTTCCCTCAGTAAGAGCATTGAAGATGGGTCGTGGCTGGGTCTTCCAGCATGACAACGACAGCCAGGGCAACTAAGGAGTGGCTCCGTAAGAAGCATCTCAAGGTCCTGGAGTGGCCTAGCCAGTCTCCAGACCTGAACCTAATAGAAAATCTTTGGAGGGAGCTGAAAGTCCGTATTGCCCAGCGACAGCCCCGAAACCTGAAGGATCTGGAGAAGGTCTGTATGGAGGAGTGGGCCAAAATCCCTGCTGCAGTGTGTGCAAACCTGGTCAAGACCTACAGGAAACATATGATCTCTGTAATTGCAAACAAAGGTTTCTGTACCAAATATTAAGTTCTGCTTTTCTGATGTATCAAATACTTATGTCATGCAATAAAATGCAAATTAATTACTTAAAAATCATACAATGTGAATTTCTGGATTTTTGTTTTAGATTCCGTCTCTCACAGTTGAAGTGTACCTATGATAAAAATTACAGACCTCTACATGCTTTGTAAGTAGGAAACACTGCCGATTTTGCAGGTTATCAAATACTTGTTCTCCCCACTGTATGTCATGTTCAATTCTATGTGCAGATAGTGTTTCTTTCTAACCGTTCACCTTGTTCTGGGGGTTTTCTGTATACAGAAGAAAGAGCCAGTTGGGGATGATGATTCTCTCCCAGATGACGCCCAGAACTTGGAGGCCCTAACAGTAGACACACTAGCGGTAGGTCAACTCGCTAGCTAGCACTTCATCTATATGCTGATTGACGTCTTTATGGAAGATTCTATTGGACTTGTGGGTCCCATACCCATGAGTATTTTTCTTTCCTCCCTCTGTCTAGCCCCTCACGGTCACCCAGATCAAGAAGGTCCGTCTGCTTGTGGATGAGGCAGTGCAGAAATCTGACAGTGAGAGGGTAAAGCTGGAGGAGGAGCGCTTTCAATACCTGCGAGAGATCGGAAACCTCTTACATCCATCTGTGCCAATTAGTAATGATGAGGTGGGTGTCAAGGAATTGTAATTCCCATCACCAGCAATAAGGAGGTGGATGGAAGTAAACATTGCTTCTGGAAGAAAAACGCTAATTCTGGTGTCTTGTCAGCTGCATTTTGTTTTGTCTCTTTGTTTACTTTTCTACTCTCTAATTTCCCTCGACGTTATCTCCCTGCCAGGATGCTGATAACAAAGTGGAGCGCACCTGGGGAGACTGTACTGTGCAGAAGAAGTATTCCCATGTGGACCTGGTAGTCATGATCGATGGCTACGACGGAGAGAAAGGAGCTATAGTGGCAGGGAGCCGTGGCTACTTCCTCAAGGCAAGTTCTTACTCACAAATTGTCACATGGAGCAAATACTCACAGGCCGATTCATACCAGGTGTAATTCCGTTCAACTGTCGATCTTTGATCGTTATCCTTACTGACTCTTCCCTTTCTCTGTTTTTAGGGGCCACTGGTTTTCCTGGAGCAGGCATTGATCAACTATGCTCTGCGGATGCTCCACAGCAAGAACTACCAAATGCTCTACACCCCTTTCTTCATGAGGAAAGAGGTCATGCAGGAGGTGGCCCAGCTCAGCCAGTTTGATGATGAACTTTACAAGGTATGATGCATTTCAAACAAATTCTCCTTCCATTTCTATTGCAGGATAGGGCAGATGTACACATTTTTTTCATGCCTCTTAGTTGACTTCAACCTCCCGAAGTCTGCCGTCGATTCATTTCTTTCCAACTCTCTTTCCCCTCCTTGCCTCTTTTGACTTCACCCTTTCCCAGTCCCCTCCTACTCACAAGGCAGGCAATACGCTTGACCTCATATTTATTAGAGGGTGTTCGCCTACTAATCTCACTGCAACCCCCCTCCAGGTCTCTGATCACTACTTTGTTTCCTTTTCTGTCTCCCTTTCCTCCAACCCAACACTACCCAGATGGTCATGTGCCATTGCAATCTTCACTCTCTCTCTCTCTCTCTCTCTCCCACTAGTCTCTTCTCCTGTCCTCTTCTATCATATCATCTCTCCCTTCTGCTAAATCCTTCTCCCTCCTGTTTCCTGATTCTGCCTCTTCAACCCTACTCTCCCCCTTTCCTCATACTATGACTTGCACTGTCCCCTTTCCTCCCGGACGGCTAGGCCCTCCTGCTCCGTGGCTGAGTGACTCATTGCGAACTTACAGAACCGAGCTGCGGGCAGCTGAGTGAAAATGGAGGAAAACTAAACTTCCAGAGGACCTATCAACCTTCCACACCCTCCTCTCTACCTTCTCTTCCTCTGTATCGGCTGCTAAAGCCACTTTCTATCACTCAAAATGTCAAGCTTCTGCCTCTAACCCTAGGAAACTATTTTCCACTTTCTCCTCCGCTCCTCATTCACTCAGCCTATTGAGTCCACTGGTCCCACTCTCACAGAACTACCCTACGCCTTGACTTCTTTCTTCCCTCTCTCTCCATATGAAATCCTGCGACTAGTGAGGTCTGGTCGCCCGACAACTGCCCGCTCGACCCCATCCCCTCCTCCCTTCGCCAGACCATCTATGGAGACCTTCTCACTTCCCTCATCAACTCATCCCTGACCACTGGCTGTGTCCCCTTTGTCTTCAAAATGGCCCAAGTCGCTCCCCTCCTCAAGAAACCAACTCCTCTGACGTCAACTACAGACTTTTTTCCTTTTCTTTCCAAAACACTTGTGCGTGCTGTCTGTGACCAACTCTCTCGCTATCTTTCTCAGAATGATCTTCATGACCCTAACCAGTCAGGCTTAAAGACGGTTCACTCAACCGAGACTGCTCTTCTTTGTGTCACGGAGGCTCGCCGCACTGCCAAAGCTGACTCTCTGTTCTCATCCTCCTAGATCTATCTGCTGCCTTCGACACTGAACCATCAGATCCTCCTCTCCACCCTCTCAGGGCTGGGCGTCTCAGGCTCTGCACACTCTTGGATTGCATTGTACCTGGCAGGCCTCTCCTACCAAGTGATGTGGAGAGGATCTGTGTCTGCACCATCTACTCTCACGACTGGTGTCCCCCAGGGCTCAGTTCTAGGCCGTCTTCTTTCTATACACCAAGTCAGTTACTCGGCTCAATCATATCCTCACATGGTCTCTCCTATCATTGCTATGCCGATGACACTCAGCTACTTTTCTCCTTCCCCCACTTCTGACACCCAGGTGGCATCATGCATCTCTGCATGCCTGGCAGATATCTCAGCTTGGATGTCGGCCCACCACCTCAAGCTCAACCTCGACAAGACGGAGCTGCTCTTCCTCTCTGGGAAGGTCTGCCCGCTCAAAGACCTCTCCATCACGGTTGACAGAGTTTCCACGGTTTCCCCCTCCCAGAGTGCAAAGAACCTTGGCGTGACCCTGACAACACCCTGTCGTTCTCTGCAAACGTCAAAGCAGTGACTCGCTCCTGCAGGTTCATGCTCTACAACAGGGTTGCCCAACCCTGTTCCTGGAGAGTTACCCTCCTGTAGATTTTCGCTCAAACCCCAGGTGTTACTAACCTGATTTCATCTTATCAACCTGCTAATTATTAGAATCAGGTGTGCTAGATTAGGGTTGGAGCAAAAACCTACAGGACGGTAGCTATCCAGGAACAGGGTTGGGCAGTCCTGGTCTACAACATCCGTAGAGTACGACCCTACCTCACATCCTACTGCAACTCACTGTTGGCTGGGCTCCCCGCTTGTGCCATGAAACCCCTGCAATTTATCCAGAACGCTGCAGCCCACCTGGTGTTCAACCTTCCCAAGATCTCCCATGTTACCTCACTCCTGGCTTCCAGTTGAAGCTCGCATCCACTGCAAGACCATGGTACTTGCCTACGGAGCTGCAAGAGGAATATAATCTATGCCATTTAGCAAACGCTTTTATCCAAAGCAACTTACAGTCATGCGTGCATACATTTTTGTGTATGGGTGGTCCCGGGGATCGAACCCACTACCCTGGCGGTATAAGCGCCGTGCTCTACCAGCTGAGCTACAGAGGACCACAGGAACTGCCCCTCCCTACCATCAGGCTATGCTCAAACCCTACACCTCAACCCGAGCACTCCGTTCTGCCACCTCTGGTCTCTTGGCTCTTTTACTTACTGTGATATGTGGTTGGCCCACTTGGCTATCTTAAGATGAATGCACTAACTGTAAGTCGCTCTGGATAAGTGTGCTAAATGACCAACAAAATATGCTGATGTGGGTGTTTTTTTCGTAAATTATTCACTCTGTAACCTCTCAGGTGATTGGGAAGAGCAGTGAGAAGTCTGAGGACACGGCCATTGACGAGAAGTACCTGATTGCTACCTCGGAGCAACCTATTGCAGCCTTCCTGAGAGACGAGTGGTTGAAGCCAGAGGAGCTGCCCATGCGCTACGCTGGTCTCTCCACCTGCTTCAGACAGGAAGTGGGCTCCCACGGCCGTGACACCCGAGGCATCTTCAGGGTGCACCAGTTTGAGAAGGTCCGTGTACATTTTCTTAAAGTAGACATGGTCAATGTAGAAAAGGCCACAGCTTTGTTGGAATACATTGCATTTTATAGGCCTAATTGAAGAAGTCCTGTTATTGATAATTTACAGAACATGTCAAGCAATGCACATTTTTCAGAACAGACCTTTGTTTTTGTTAGGGCCTCTGCTAATGATTGTCAAATACTAATCAACTCTCTCCATTCAGATTGAGCAGTTTGTTTTTGCCTCTCCTCATGACAACAAGTCCTGGGAGATGATGGATGAGATGATTGGGACTGCTGAGGAGTTCTACCAGACGCTAGGGATCCCCTACCGCATCGTCAACATAGTCTCAGGTAGGTCCTGCCCAACAAACCTGTTCCTCTCTGGGCAATTCCATACGAGATTGGCCCCAAAATATTTATGATGTTTTGGATCTTCCTGAAATTAAATCCATAGAAAGGTCCTTTGGGGGAAGGATGCTTGGCAGACCTTTTGAAGTCTGTATCCAAAATGATTATTGAGAAATAATTTATTAACGTCTTGGAAATGTGACATTTTGACCATACCCAGGCCTTCTGTGAGACACTACAACAATGAGTGTAGATGCTATAAAGCCAGTCATGCTGGCATTTGAAACCTTACTGTGTGCACTGAAATATAAGTTTAGATCAATAATACAATTTCTTTACCCACTCATGACAATAACCATAACTCATACAAGTTAACTTGACGTTTAATAACAACCTTCACATAGTATGGTATTACAATTACCTTTATTCTGCGTGATTTACGTTAGACACATAATGGACATTTCCCATGGGAGCAGTCTTACTAGCCACATGTCTGTCTGAGCCTCGGTGTCTGTCTGCTCCCACCCAGGTGCTCTGAACCATGCAGCCAGTAAGAAGTTGGACTTGGAGGCCTGGTTCCCAGGGTCCGCAGCCTTCAGAGAGCTGGTCTCCTGCTCCAACTGTTTAGACTACCAGGCTCGTAGGCTGCGTATCCGCTACGGACAGACCAAAAAGATGATGGACAAGGTCAGAGTACCCAGTATTTCCATAGAAAACCCTCCCATTATAAAATTGATAGTTCTGGATTTGCTTCCATAATCAAAAAGTCACAGTTGAATGGAGTATTTGAACCAGTTTTCACATGACTCTTCCTGTGTTCTTTAGGCCGACTATGTGCACATGCTCAACGCGACCATGTGTGCCACCACACGTGTAATGTGTGCTATCCTGGAGACGTACCAGACTGAAGAAGGTATCATTATTCCAGAGGTACTCCGGAACTTCATGCCTCCAGGTGAGCCACAGTATTTTTTACAGGTTTTGTGAAGGGGCATGCAATACTTGTGCCATATGCATGGAAGGTGGTGAGAAAGAAACAACCTTTTCATGATCGCAGAGTACTTATTTTTTAAAATAGATTTGCTTTAATGCGTGTTGCCATGAAAGCAGTTTGTGTGTGTATACTGACTGTGTACATTTTCATTCCTCTTCTGTACATTTTCTTAGGTATGACAGAGATGCTGAAGTTTGTAAAGCCTGCCCCTATTGACGTGGAGATGTCCAAGAAGCAGAAGAAACAGCAGGATGGAGGGAAGAAGAAGAAGCAGGGAAGTGGAGACCAGCTCCAGCACCAAGTGGAGAACATGTCTGTCAACGATTCCTAGACCCCATCATCCTCCCCATCCTTACGCTCCCTTCACTCGCACCACATCTGAAAAGGGACTGTTCCGTCCTCTCACCAATACATCCATCTCATTGTGCTCTGGGTCTAGTGACCAGTCTGTCACTTTCCTCTCCTAGAGATGAGGTTCAGCCCAAAACAGACAGTTGTTATCACAGACCCCTTTTCTACTGTATGAACAGAATACATACTGAAAGGGAAAGGCCAAAGTTGTCGCTGGTTAGTGGGAAAGGGGCTGTTAACAGCTTCGGGGCAATAGTAATGTTAGGTCTGCTGCATGCAATAATCGAAACTGTAAGATCCAGACAATATCAAGTCTGAACTCTGGAATTCTCTGAAATTTCATTAGAGGCTCTCTTGTTATTGCAACATTTGGTTTTCAACGTAAGGTGACGTGAACATTCAATCAACATTTTGAGTCTGGCACAGCCAAGTGTATATAGGATGCTTTTAGAAATACAGTTGCTTTGAAGTTCTAAACTACATTTTAATTGTCTGACTGAATATCACCATAAATCACAACTATCCTCTGTAAATTCCAGAAAGGGCTGGGGTCATGAGACATCTGGACTCTGTCTTGTTTGGGCTTTTTGTGACACACCACCCTCCCCAAACTCAATAAGTGTTTTCCTACATTGTTGCTTGAGGCCATTTGCTTCTACTGCTTGTCAGGATAATACGATATCTGTATGTACTCGCGTAAGACAAGGCATTGATAAAGTGGCGCCACTGTAACAATAATAAATCATCTGAAAAATGACTCTTTCCTAATGTATTTTTCCCAATTATGTGAGAGATGTCAGTGCCTGCAAAAGTTTGCGGTTGATACAGCTATTGCTATCAGATAGCGTCTGACTCTGAACTGAAGGATATCAGATGAAGAGCAATAAGGAAGAATTTCATTTTGGTTAGTCATTAACCCCAGTAGACTTTACACCCAAAGCAAGCTCACCACCTGAAGTCGTGTAACTACAACCGTGTGGGTAGTTACTGAAAAAAGGTAAGATCACAAATTTACCACAGTTTTGTAATTGAGAAACGGGGCCTTTCATGAGAACCTGTTGATTTAGTGGTGTAATATCCTGAAATACTATACTTCAATCATTTGTTTTTCCAGGAGCATATCCCTGTCACAGCCGGATTCATTTTTTGAGTGTAAAGATGAGTGATATCTCTGAGGATGATAATGAGATCTCTTTCACAGTTAAAGTAAGTGCACACTAACATCAAGACAGCATGAATAGTGTAATATTCATCCATTAAAATCTTTCCTAATGTAATACATATTAGGGACCATATTGTTATTCTGGTTTAGGGGGGCATTTTGATAGATTTTGTGAACATTATTGCCCTCTGTGACTGTCTCTCTTGGTCTTCATAAGTTTCTGGGGCGTGTTGAGGTGGTCCGTTCTGAGGGCATGCAGATCCTGAACGAGGCCGTTCAGAGCCTGAAGGTAAATATCCCTAACAGCTGTCCCAACCATTTTTCTCGGTCAAATGTTAGACAGTTGACAAGGGGTGCGTTCAGCAGGACTCAACATTTTGGAATGTTCAGATAGCATATTTCTATGTAGAACAATCATGCCTTTCTTACATGTAGAATAAGGAATCACGTTGGCTCTATTTGTGGCATTTCTATCTGCAATTTTCAACAACGTTTGACTACTGAACATGGCTGAGGTGTGTCCTTGAAGTATGACTTTACAAAGTGTAATTGATTGGTTTTGTAGGTAATAGATGCAACATTTTCAAGGCACATAAAAGACATGCAATCATATCAGCATTTGTTAATAACATGGTTTCAATTAACCATTTTTTTTCAAGATCATATTTACATTTTAGTCATTTAGCAGACGCTCTTATCCAGAGATATAATATATTCAATATTCAATATTCAAATTCAGTGGTTGCCCAAGTCCCTGTCCTTTGCCCTCCATTAGATGCCTGACAAAGAGTTGACAGAAAAGCTGCAGAAGAAGAACAAGGTGTCTTTGTTTTTGTCAATGAGCGGGATTGACATTTTGGAGCACAAAACCAAGGTGAGAGCCTAGGGTCCAACTCCAACGGAAGATATTGGGGGGGAACTGCTTCAATATGATGAAGTCTAAAAAGGACACATTTACATGTACGCTTGGTTAGCAGAAATAAATGGGCCCCTTACATGTTTCTGCGTTTCTATACTGTTGTGTAATGCAATTGCACACTCTCCCATCCTCCATCTTCCTTTCTCTTCCTCTTGTAATCACGTATTCTCACTTACCTCTTTCCTCTTATATTTTTTCCAGTTTATGCTGTACACATGCCCCCTCTCCTCCGTGTCCTTCTGTGCCGTCATCCCGACCGCGCCCAAAGTCTTTGGCTTTGTGGCCAAACACCCAGCTGCAGACATGTACCACTGTTATCTGTTCCAGAGCAAGAAATTTGTGAGTGCAGTGCAATCATTCAGTCTTGATTAAATTTGTGAGTGCAGTGCAATCATTCAGTCTTGATTTTAGGGTACATCACTAAAAGCATCTATGGGTTTTAAGTTGCCAATCTCAACCTTTTCTATTTTTTTGCTCCTCTCCCCAGTCTCATCTGCTGGTGTCCATTATCGGAGATGCATTTCGGGCCACAAAGAGAGAGGAAAGCCTTAGAGGAGGCGGACGAGATCTGATTGTGGAGGCGCTGAGGCACAAGGTTGGATTAAAGTGATTTACAGTGCATTCGGAAAGTATTCAGACCCCTTGACTTTTTCCACATTTTGTTACGTTACAGCCTTATTCTAAAATTGATTAAAACGTTTTTTCCCCCGTCATCAATCTACACACAATACCCCATAATGACAAAGCAAAAACAGGTTTTTAGAAATGTTTGCAAATGTATAAAAAATAAAAAACTGAAATATACATTTACATAAGTATTCAGACCTTTTACACAGTACTTTGTCGAAGCACCTTTGGCAGCGATTACAGCCTTGAGTCTTCTTGGGTATGATGCTACAAGCTTGGCACACATGTAATTGGGGAGGTTCGCCCATTCTTCACTGCAGATCCTCTCAAGCTCTGTCAGGTTGGATGGGGAGCGTCGCTGCTCAGCAGTTTCAGGTCTCTCCAGAGATGTTCAATCGGGTTAGGGTCGTTGTCATGTTGGAAGGTGAACCTTTGCCCCAGTCTGAGGTCCTGAGTGTTCATCAAGGATCTCTCTGTACTTTGTTCCGTTCATCTTTCCCTCGATCCTGACTAGTCTCCCAGTCCCTGCCGCTGAAAGTCTGGCCACTCTACCAAAAAGGTCCTGATTGGTGGAGCGCTGCAGAGATGGTTGTCCTTCTGGAAGGTTCTCCCATCTCCACAGAGGAACTCTGGAGCTCTGTCAGCGTGACCATTGTGTTCTTGTTCATCTCCCTGACCAAGGCCCTTCTCCCCCGATTGCTCAGTTTGACCACGTGGCCAGCTCTAGGAAGAGTCTTGGTGGTTCCAAACTTCTTCCATTTAAGAATGATGGAGGCCACTGTGTTCTTGGAGACCTTTAATGCTGCAGAATGTTTTTGGTACCCTTCCCCAGATCTGTGCCTCGACACAATCCTGTCTTGAAGCTCAACGGACAATTCCTTCGACCTCATGGCTTGGTTTTTGCTCTGACATGCGTTGTCAACTGTGGGACCTTATATAGACAGGTGTGTGCCTTTCCAAATCATGTCCAATCAATTGAATTTACCACAGGTGGACTCCAATCATGTTGTAGAAACATCTCAAGAATGATCAATGGAAACAGGATGCACCTGAGCTCAATTTCAAGTCTCATAGCAAAGGGTCTGAATACTTCTGTAAATACGTTTTATTTATTTATACATTGGCAAAAATGTCAAAAAACCTGTTTTCGCTTTGTCATTATGGGGTATTGTGTGTAAATTGATGAGTAAAAAAAATTATTTAATCCATTTTAGAATAAGGCTGTAACGTAACAAAATGTGGAATAAGTCAAGGGGTCTGAATACTTTCCGAATACACTGTAGTTGGTTTAAAACTGATAATAGTTTTGTGGTTGTGGTAACTGTTTATGGGTTCTTGTGTTTTCATAATACAGTGTAATTCAGAATTTAATATTTTTAACTACATTTCTGCCCTTTTTCTTTTAGAATAAAGTCCTGCAGAGGGAGAATGCCGAGCTGAGGATGAGACTCAGTGCATCAGGAGATGTGAGTGAGGAAGCAGTAGCCCCACCCCACACACACACACACATACATACACATCTTCCATTGCTTTTTGTAAATTAGGTCTGTGTAACCAGGGTTGGCTAGGTTACTTTCTAAATGTAATCCGTTACTAGTTACCTGACCAAAATTGTAATCAGCAGCGTCATTTATGGATTACCCAAACTCAGTAAAGTAATCTGATTACTTTCCCCTATAAGAGGCATTAGAAGAACACAAACATTATGTTGCATTTTACTTCATGGGTTATGTAGGCTTCTAACCCATACATTTCAACTTCAATACAGATAATAATACGATTAGGCTATATATTTGCATGAAAAACCAAAGTCTGTCAGATTTCTACTCATTCCAATTAATTAATTACCCCTTGATCTTCAAGAATAGGACTTTGAAATATGGAAATATAGATGAGTCAAATTGTTTTACCTGAGCATAACCCAAAAACTAAGGGCTTCTTAGCCTACTCTATTGTTTATGTATTTTGTTGTTATGGAGGATTGATTGGGCTCATTGTTTTGAGTTGAAAAATAAATGCTGCTCTCATGGAATGGCATGCTTTGAGCATTATCGAAAGTGCTATTTGCGTGTGAAAAAATGAATGCCATATGCCACATTTGCTATAGGCCGGTTTATGTTTTAGATGGTGACACTTTGATATCTTGATAATTTGCAGCTGTTTACATTGCCGGGGGAAGATGTTTTGGGTTGGGGTTTTCTCCGCTCATTACAGCAGAAATAAAGGCCTAGTTCAATCATTTACAACAACAACAAAAAATATATATATATATAGTGCATTCGGAAAGTATTCAGACCCCTTGACTTTTTCCACATTTTGTTATGTTACAGCCTTATTCTAAAATGGATTATGTTCTTTTTTTACTCATCAATTTAAACACAAAAGAAACCATAAAGACGAAGCGAAAACATGTTTTTAGAATTTTTTGCAAAAAATTCAAATTTAAAAACAGAAATACCTTATTTAAATACGTATTCAGACCCTTTGCTACGAGACTCGAAATTGAGCTCAGGTGCATCCTGTTTCCATTGAACATCCTTGAGATGTTTCTACAACTTGATTGTAGTCCACCTGTGGTAAATTCAATTGATTGGACATGATTTGGAAAGGCACATACCTGTCTATATAAGGTCCCACAGTTGACAGTGCATGTCATAGCAAAAATTTCTGCAGCATTGAAAGTCCCCAAGAACACAGTGGCCTCCATCATTCTTAAATGGAAAAAGTTTGGAACCACCAAGACTCTTCCTAGAGCTGGCCACGTGGTCAAACTGAGCAATCGGGGGAGAAGGGCCTTGGTCAGGGAGGTGACTAAGAACCCGATGGTCACTCTGAAAGAGCTCCAGAGTTTCTCTGTGGAGATGGGAGAACCTTCCAGAAGGACAACCATCTCTGCAGCATTCCACCAATCAGGCTTTTATGGTAGAGTGGCCAGATGGAAGCCACTCCTCAGTAAAAAGGCACATGACAGCCCGCTTGGAGTTTGTCAAAAGGCACCTAAAGGACTCTCAGATCATAAGAAACAAGATTATCTGGCCTAATGAAACCAAGATTGAACTCTTTGGCCTGAATGCCAAGCGTCACGTCTGGAGAAAACCTGTCACCATCCCTACGGTGAAGCATGGTGGTGGCAGCATCATGCTGTGGGGATGTTTTTCAGCGGCAGGGACTGGGAGATTAGTCAGGATCGAGGGAAAGATGAATCCTTGATAAAAACCTGCTCCAGAGCATTCAGCCAGAGCCCAGACCTGAACCCGATCGAACGTCTCTGGAGAGACCTGAAAATAGCTGTGCAGCGATGCTCCCCATCCAACCTGACAGAGCTTGAGAGGATCTGCAGAGAAGAATGGGAGAAACTCCCCAAATACAGGTGTGCCAAGCTTGTAGCGTAATACCCAAGAAGACTCGAGGATGTAATCACTGCCAAAGGTGCGTCAACAAAGTACTGAGTAAAGAGTCTGAATACTTATGTAAATGTGATATTTCTGTTTTTATTTTTAATACATTTGCAAACATGTCTAAAAACCTGTTTTTGCTTTGTCAATATGGGGTATTGTGTGTAGATTGATGAGGGAAAAAAAACAATTTAATCCATTTTAGAATAAGGCTGTAACATAACAAAATGTGGAAAGGGGTCTGAATACTTTCCGAATGCACTGTATATATACAGTACCAGTTAAAAGTTTGGACACACCTACTTGTTCAAGGGTTTTTCTTTATTTTTTACATTGTAGAATAATAGTGACGACATCAAAACTATGAAATAACACATGGAATCATGTAGTAACCAAAAAAGTGTTAAACAAATCAAAATATATTTTAGATTCTTCAAAGTAGCCACCCGTTGCCTTGATGACAGCTTTGCACACTCTTGGCATTCTCTCAACCAGCTTCATGAGGAATGCTTTTCCAACAGTCTTGAAGGAGTTCCCACAAATGAGGAGTACTTGTTGGCTGCTTTTCCTTCACTCTGCGGTCCAACTCATCCCAAACCACACATGCGGAGATCATCCGTTCACCTACTATGTGTCTCACAAAGATACGGCGGGTTGGAACCAAAAATCTCAAATTTGGACTCATCAGACCAAAGGACAGATTTCCACCGGTCTAATGTCCATTGCTTGTGTTTCTTGGCCCAGGCAAGTCTCTTCTTCTTATTGGTGTCCTTTACTAGTGGTTTCTTTGCAGCAATTAGACTATGAAGGCGTGATTCATGCAGTCTCATCTGAACAGTTGATGTTGAGATGTGTCTGTTACTTGAACTCTGTGAAGCATTTATCTGGGCTGCAATCTGAGGTGCAGTTAACTCTAATGAATTTATCCTCTGCAGCAGAGGTAACTCTGGGTCTTCCTTTCCTGTGGCCCCTCATGAGAGCCAGTTTCATCATAGCGCTTGACGGTTTCTGCAACTGCACTTGAAGAAACCTTCAAAGGTCTTGAAATGTTCCTTATTGACTGACCTTGATGTCTTAAAGTAATGATGGACTGTCATTTCTCTTTGCTTATTTGAGCTGTTCTAGCCATAATATGGACTTGGTCTTTTACCAAATAGGGCTATCTTCTGTATACCACCCCTACCTTGTCACAACACAATTGATTGGCTCAAATGCATTAAGAAGGAAAGAAATTCCACAAATGTACTTTGAACAAGGCACACCTGTTAATTGAAATGCATTTCAGGTGACTACCTCATGAAGCTGGTTGAGAGAATGCCAAGAGTGTACAAAGCTGTCATCAAGTCATGTATATATATTATTTTTTTTGGGGGGGGGGGGGGGGGGGGGGGGGGGTTGATTTAGCATCCCTACTTCTGTGGCTATGGCTGTTTAGGTCTATCAAAAATGCCAGAGTTTGAGCATATGTCTGAGCATATGTCCGTTAGGCCTATGGACCTTTTTTTTTTATCAGCACAAATTAGATTGAGCAATAAAAGCCCCAGTCGTGGTCAACTTAAATTAAACTACTTTTTGACATGTGTGGAGCACAATACCACAGAGGAGTTTAGAAGGGAGGAACTCCCTCAAACTTTTATTCCAAAGGCTGGGATCTGCACTATGCAGCTGTTGCAAGAGCGCATTTTTCACTGGCTGTCCACTATTTGCAAAAACAATAATTGATAGGCTGCTTAAACTTCTACAATTCAACCATTATTTGGTTAAAATACACCTATACATTTGTGAACAGCCTTCTACAACAACCACAATCCATAAGGTGCAAATAAATGAGGGAGCAGCATGATTCACATCATTCCGCTATATGAGTATACCAAACATTAGGAACACCTTCCTAATATTGAGTTGCACCCCCGGCCTCAGTTCGTCAGGGCATGGACTCTTCAAGGTGTCGAAAGCGTTCCACAGGGATGCTGGCTCCCATGTTGACTCCAATGCTTCCCACAGTTGTGTCAAGTTGGCTGGATGTCCTTTGGGTTGTGGACCATTCTTGGTACACACAGGAAACTGTTGAGTGTGAAAAATCCAGCAGTGTTGCAGTTCTTGGCACAAACCGGTGCACCTGGCACCTACTACCATACCCCGTTCAAAGGCACTTAGTTATTTTGTCTTTTGTCATCCTCTGAATGGTACACATACACAATCGATGTCTCAAGGCTTAAAAATCCTTCTTTAACCTGTCTCCTCACCCTTCATCTACACTGATTTGAAGTGGATTTAACAAGTGACATCAGTAAGGGATCATAGCTTTCACCTGGATTCACCTGGTCAGTCTATGTAATGGAAAGAGTAGGTGTTCTTAATGTTTTGTACACTTGTGTAAAAGGCCTAAGTGATATCCTTGTCGCCCGTTGAGTACACCACTGCTGTCGTCCTTACTTCCAAGCATTTATTCAATTTGGATGTATAGGCTAATCTTTGGATGCCAATAGCATTCGCACCACATTGGGAGACATACTGTAGCTTGAACTGCAGCCTACAAAAGCCTATTCCTGCTCTTTTCCCGCGATCCATCAAATGCTCGCTCAGGCGGAACAAACTTTAAACTTGCTCATTTTTTCTATGCTGATTTCAATGTCATAAAGATTTCTTTCACAAACATCCTTTCAGAATTTTAAAGTAATCATAGTAATCAAGTTTTTCAAAAGTATCTGTAATCTGATTACAATATTTTTGCTGGTAATGTAACGGATTACAGTTAGTTTTTTTTGTAATCAGTTAATAATAATATATAATAATAATATGCCATTTAGCAGACACTTTTATCCAAAGCGACTTACAGTCATGCGTGCATACATTTTTACATATGGGTGGTCCCGGGGATCGAACCCACTACCCTGGCGTTACAAGCGCCATGCTCTACCAATTGAGCTACAGAGGACCACGTACAGTTACATGTAACGTACTCCCCAACCCTGTGTGTAACATTGCATGATGGAGAAGAGGTCTCCTATGCCATGCCAACTCTGCTCTCTGTGCTTTTTATCACAGGAGGCAGACAGGGCTGCTGGAACCACAAACAGACATCAAATTGACCTCACAAGGTCCAAAAAAAAGCAGACCGAAGCACAGAAACTCTCACACTTAGACATGTACCCTCACAATAGTGAGTACTTTTACTTACAGTGGGGAAAAAAAGTATTTAGTCAGCCACCAATTGTACAAGTTCTCCCACTTAATAAGATGAGAGAGGCCTGTAATTTTTATCATAGGTACACGTCAACTATGACAGACAAAATGAGAAAGAAAAATCCAGAAAATCACATTGAGGGATTTTAATGAATTTATTTGCAAATTATGGTGGAAAATAAGTATTTGGTCAATAACAAAAGTTTCTCAATACTTTGTTATATACCATTTGTTGGCAATGACACAGGTCAAACGTTTTCTGTAAGTCTTCACAAGGTTTTCACACACTGTTGCTGGTATTTTGGCCCATTCCTCCATGCAGATCTCCTCTAGAGCAGTGATGTTTTGGGGCTGTCGCTGGGCAACACGGACTTTCAACTCCCTCCAAAGATTTTCTATGGGATTGAGATCTGGAGACTGGCTAGGCCACTCCAGGATCTTGAAATGCTTCTTACGAAGCCACTCCTTCGTTGCCCGGGCGGTGTGTTTGGGATCATTGTCATGCTGAAAGACCCAGCCACGTTTCATCTTCAATGCCCTTGCTGATGGAAGGAGGTTTTCACTCAAAATCTCACGATACATGGCCCCATTCATTCTTTCCTTTACACGGATCAGTCGTCCTGGTCCCTTTGCAGAAAAACAGCCCCAAAGCATGATGTTTCCACCCCCATGCTTCACAGTAGGTATGGTGTTCTTTGGATGCAACTCAGCATTCTTTGTCCTCCAAACACGACGAGTTGAGTTTTTACCAAAAAGTTATATTTTGGTTTCATCTGACCATATGACATTCTCCCAATCCTCTTCTGGATCATCCAAATGCACTCTAGCAAACTTCAGACGGGCCTGGACATGTATTCAAACAGGTGCCATTAATACAGGTAACGAGTGGAGGACAGAGGAGCCTCTTAAAGAAGAAGTTACAGGTCTGTGAGAGCCAGAAATCTTGCTTGTTTGTAGGTGACCAAATACTTATTTTCCACCATAATTTGCAAATAAATTCATTCAAAATCCTACAATGTGATTTTCTGGAGAAAAAAAATCTCTCAATTTGTCTGTCATAGTTGACGTGTACCTATGATGAAAATTACAGGCCTCTCTCATCTTTTTAAGTGGGAGAACTTGCACAATTAGTGGCTGACTAAATACTTTTTTCCCCCACTGTATAGCAGCAGTCCAGCTATGCTGTCATCACACCCAAGCTGAATTCTGTTTAAAATCTAATAATATAATTGATGTATTTTTCATCATTTCCAGTAACATTTCAATGCAGTGATGACACAGCCCCTTTACTGAGAACACAGGAACTGAACATGACAGATGTTTGAAGAGGAGTGGCCATGTCAAATGGATTGTAATGCAACACACATGTTGATGATACCATGACTCTTTCTAACTACACTATAATGTCTGAATAAAACAATGAATAATAGCTAGATATGTTTGAGTCTTTATTTAATATACTTTTATATTCCAAGGATCATGCAGTTTCTCTCTACATTTAGTCTATGGATATACATTACATTATTTCAATACATTATTTTATTTTTGTTATGTAGGGATGTGCAAAACTGAAATTTCTCAAACTTCTTCCAATATAAAAAAAGACTTGCAAGCAGGCACATTTTATTCAGGAAATGTAACTTTAAGAGCTGTTTCAAGCACCCATTAGAATGAAGCAGAGCGCAACACAATCGTTTAAGTGGTAAGGTGAAAGCAACCGACTACAGACACAAGTCAGGGAGGTGCATCTGCAACAAGGGAAAGTCGTACACTGATGTGGTTTCAGCAGCAAGGGTGTCGCAGTGTTGCCATTGTTTATAAAAGTTGTTCTTTATAATGTCAAAATTAATGTCTCAAACCCCCATATCACACACTCACAAACTGAAAATATAAATGTATGTGTACATTGTACAATCAATCGGTGAGAGAGAGCGCCTCATATCACATGAATTTGTACATATCCACTGTATACATGAATTGTGCAAAGTTGGTTCCTCTTTCAATCATGTCTTTGGTCATGTTCGGGTGGGTCAAACTAAAACATCCTAATGATTGGTTGACAATAGAGCCTCCCACAATGCAGGTGATGGCTGCAGGATGACGTTGGTGAAGAGCAACTGCAATAGTGGAGAACAATTGGAGGGTTACTTAGTAGCAATGCAAATATCATGGTACAGCTATATGGACACTCAATCACTATGTTATTTTGTATTGGTGAATTTACAAACATATATATAATGATAAATAGATTTGAAACTTGTATCTCATTATGGTATGTGGTGAAATAAGTATAGCCAGTTATAATTGTAATGGCTTAGCAGATAATAACAAAAGAAGAACAATATTTACATGGCTCAAAGAGAAGGAATATAATATCCATTGTTTACAGGAAACTCATTCAACAATTCTAGATGAAGTTGCGTGGAAAAAGGAATGGGGGGGCCAAATATACTTCTCCCATGGGCAAAGAAACTCAAAAGGGGTGATGATATTAATTAACAGTAGTTTGTGCAAATTGTACAAACAGTTCCGCAAGGTAGATGGATTATTTTAAATATGTTATTGGACCATAAACAGATATGGCTCATTAACCTTTACGGACCAAATAATGACAATATTATTATTATAAATGATCAACCCTGCAAGCAATACAATACTCTATTATTATGGTGGGAGATTATAATACAGTTTTAAATAGCTCAATGGACCGTAAAGGAAATCACACTACAAACGATCACCCTCATGCTCTTAAGGAAATCGTGAATGTCATGGATACATTAGAACTAGTACAGCTGAAGTCGGAAGTTTACATACACCTTAGCCAAATACATTTAAACTCAGTTTTTCACAATTCCTGACATTTAACTCTAGTAAAAATTCCCTGTCTTAGGTCAGCTAGGATCGCCACTTTATTTTAAGAATGTGAAATGTCAGAATAATAGTAGAGAGTGATTTATTTCAGCTTTTATTTCTTTCATCACATTCCCAGTAGGTCAGAAGTTTACATACACTCAATTAGTATTTGGTAGCATTGCCTTTAAATTGTTTAACTTGGGTCAAACGTTTCGGGTCGCCTTCCACAAGCTTCCCACAATAATTTGGGTGAATTTTGGCCCATTCCTCCTGACAGAGCTGGTGTAACTGAGTCAGGTTTGTAGGCCTCCTTGCTCGCGCACGCTTTTTCAGTTCTGCCCACAAATATTCTATAGGATTGAGGTCAGGGCTTTGTGATGGCCACTCCAATACCTTGACTTCGTTGTCCTTAAGCCATTTTGCCACAACTTTGGAAGTATGCTTGGGGTCATTGTCCATTTGGAAGACCCATTTGCGACCAAGCTTTAACTTCATGACTGATGTCTTGAGATGTTACTTCAATATATCCACATAATTTTCCTTCCTCTTAATGCCATCTATTTTGTGAAGTGCACCAGTCCCTTCTGCAGCAAAGCACCCCCACAGCATGATGCTGCCACCCCCGTGCTTCACGGTTGAGATGGTGTTTTTTCGGCTTGAAAGCAACCCCCTTTTTCCTCCAAACATAACGATGGTCATTATGGCCAAACAGTTCTATTTTTGTTTCATCAGACCAGAGGACAAAAAGTATGATCTTTGTCCCCATGTGCAGTTGCAAACCATAGTCTGGCTTTTTTATGGCGGTTTTGGAGCAGTGGCTTCTTCCTTGCTGAGCGGCATTTCAGGTTATGTCGATATAGGGCTTGTTTTACTGTGGATATAGATACTTTTGTACCTGTTTCCTCCAGCATCTTCACAAGGTCCTTTGCTGTTGTTCTGGGATTGAATTCGCACCAAAGTACGTTAATCTCTAGGAGACAGAATGCGTCTCCTTCCTGAGCGGTATACGGCTGCGTGGTCCCATGGTGTTTATAGTTGCGTACTATTGTTTGTACAGATGAATGTGGAACCTTCAGGTGTTTGGAAATTGCTCCCAAGGATGAACCAGACTTGTGGAGGTCTACAATTTTGTTTCTGAGGTCTTGGCTGATTTCTTTTGATTTTCCCATGATGTCAATCAAATAGTCACTGAGTTTGAAGGTAGGCCTTGAAATACATCCACAGGTACACCTCCAATTGACTAAAATTATGTAAATTAGCCTATCAGAAGTTTCTAAAGCCATGACATCATTTTCTGGAATTTTCCCAGCGGTTTAAAGGCACAGTCAATTTAGTGTATGTCAACTTCTGACCCACTGGAATTGTGATGCAGTGAATTATAAGTGAAATAATCTGTCTGTAAACAATTGTTGGAAAAATGACTTGTGTCATGCACAAAGTAGATATCCTAACCGACTTGCCAAAACTATAGTTTGTTAACAAGACATTTGTGGAGTGGTTGAAAAACGAGTTTTAATGACTCCAACCTAAGTGTATGTAAACTTGAGACTTCAACTGTACATTGATGGAAGTTACAATCTAACTGCAATATTAAAGCTGATCTACCCCCTAAAATAATAAAATAATAAAATATGTTTAATTTATTTTTTTTAAGAAAAAAAAGAGAAGAGTAACTGCAGAAACTTTCAGTTGACTGCAGTGAAAACGTATAATAATAATATGCCATTTAGCAGAGGCTTTTATCCAAAGCGACTTACAGTCATGCGTGCATACATTTTTTTACCTTGGCGCTACAAGCGCCGTGCTCTACAAGCTGAGCTACAGAGGACCACCCAACTTCATGACCTTTCCTTTGATCACATTCTTTTTTTAAATCAAATTAACTAATTGTCTTTTGTTGAATTTATATAACAACATTCCAAACGTGTTCCGCATTATCTAGCCCAACTGTGGAATGATTCCACCATGTTTATACGTTTGCGTCAGTTTAAATGGCGTACCTTTATTTTGAAGGTGAACCGATTCCACTATGGTTGCTTACTCTGTTGTTCACGAGAACTGCGACGCTAGTGTCACGAACTACAACACTATCAATAACTTCATCGTATGGCCTTAATGTTCTCAGAAATATAGTCAACCAAAGAGAGATATATAGTGTTAGAAATTGCGTAATTCAAATCTGGTATTGGAATAAGAATCAAGAGATCTTCAATCCAAGCTTAATTTATTATATGCAAAATGTATGTATGATAAGTATGAAGGTTCGTATATACGGGTCCACTGCAATACCACGCAGGGCACTCAGAGAACTGATCCATTGTTTACAGGTTATTTCTCAAATACTCTGACAGAGAGTTCCCACCTCTTCTGTTGGCCAATCAGAGTAAAGGACTGAGTGTGGTTAAGACTTTACTCAGCCAATCCGTTGGCGCACGGGTTAGTCCCACCCCTTGGCGCTCCACCGTTCCCAGGCATAAGTTTATCATAACAACCTGTAGAGTCAGCACCCAAAAGACTGTACGTTCCTACATCCAAGGACGGTTCACAGACAACGGTTCACAGACAACAAAGAGGCAGTGTTCATATCTGTAAGAAATACAAGTCTTATCTGTCCTTCCCCTAACGTTCCACACATGAATCACAGCCTGTTATGTGAAACAATTTATATCAGTATAGTTCAAACCTATGCTCCTCATTAATGCATTCCTTCTAAGTTATTCATCACATACAGATCCAATTATGAGAAAAATAGAACCCAACAATAGGTAAGACAAATATTATGTCTGAAGATGGAAGCAAGACTAGTGCTGGTTGCGCACCTGTTAAACGTTGACTGCTAGCTAGCTAACTTTGCTTGCTAGACTGCTAGTTAACAGCTTGATAGCTAACGTTAGCAAAATTAGCTACCTAACGTTACCGCTAGCAAGATAGAAAACAGTCTTGGCTGCAATGGCACTAAACTTGCTGTTATTGTGTTTTGAATAGACTAGCTAACTGCTAGCTACGTGTGTTGTTGTTGGACAAAATACTTTACTAGCCAATGTGTAGCTTGCTAGCTAGCTGTTGTGTATTTGTTATAGTGTTCATCAGATACTTCGAAGTTTGACATTTATAGGCAACGCCTCCCATTTCATTGACAGCATTTCCCATATATTCAAACTTAAAGTGGAACTGACAGCGTTTTAACTACTTTGCAAATATGAAACAGACTATCATAATATCAGTCAAAAATATCAAATTCCCAGTTTATGCTACAAAACCAGGTTTATGAGGTTTTAAAAATACGTTCTATTTGACTCAACATTCCATGACGTACACTAAGGTACTGTTGGCAGAATAGATGGATGCAGTTCAATGCATGATTAATATAATTCACCAATACATTTATTGGTAGTCCAAAAAATATTGCTATCAGGTTGTAGACCACAACTAGCCTGGTACATTGTTTGCTGCCTCCATTCGGGATGCATTCTTTCAGTTTCAAATACTCAATATTTTTGACTAAAACAGACGAATGTAACGAAGGCTGGGAATGTAAATTAAAATCAAACTAGCAAGGGCAATGATCACAGGTCA